TGATTTTTCTTTCCCTTTGTTTCATAGAGTTAGAATGTAAGATCTGTATAAATATAACTTCTATCACAATTCCATTTCATTATCTATAAAGTTTAACTCAGACAATTTAAAAGATTTCATATTCCTTGTAAATTTATAACAGAATATTTGTAATAGAAAAAATATCTTTCATTTTGGATAATTTAGAATAAACAAATGCATGTTAGTTTGAAGCAATTAATTCTCTAATTAACTACTCCGACTGGTATGAGACTTGAAGATAAACATATTATGTAATTCTTAGTTGACATGGATACATGATTCCAGGTTTATTCAAGTCAGCACAAACTCAAAGACTTTCCATATCAACATTACTGGTTAACTTTCTTTATAAAAATGACTGAACTTAAACACAGAACATCAACGGGGTTCATCAAAAGCATATATCTAATATTTTGGCAGGGCCAGAATAGGCTCTTATGTATAACAGTTTCTAACACTCTACCCTCATCTTCCAGATAAAGACTGCGAAGTGCATAAACAGTAATATATTTAAAATTTGAAAATCTGAATATTTTAGCTGTGGTAGTAGAAACATCATTTTTCTTTATGTCAGGTCTTAACTTATTTGGAGTAACATATAGTTAATGTATAGTCCTCTTTCTCTTTTAAGACTGTATAGAAAAATCATAGTACAGATTTCACTCAGTGCTTTAGAAAGCTGGAAGAACAGGGGCTGAACTAGTGTTCCATGAAAAATTGTAAAGCAAAGCTTGCAGGTGTGCATATCTGCATCATTACTTCAGTCTTTCCTGAGCACTTCTGGGCACATAGCCCATAACTCCATCATATTAATTATTGTGAGGAGAAAGTTTTGAAGTAAACATTTCCCCATATGCATTTTAAAAATTGGGTGCAGTTTATACTGCTTGCGTGATGGGTACACTGAAATCTCAATCATCACTAAAGAACTTATTCATGTAACCAAACCCTACCTTTTCCCCAAAAACCTATTGAAATAAAAAATAATTAAAAAATAAAAAATAAGCAAAGGGAATTTTAAACACATATGCATGGGAGTATTTTAGTCAAAGGTACAAACTTTCTATCATAAGATATAATGTACAATATGGTGACTATAGTTAATAATAATGTGTTATATACTTGAAATTTGCTGAGAGTTGACAGTAAGCATTCTCACACACACACACACAAGAAAATGGTCACTATATGAGGTGAGGAATATGTCAATTAGCTTAATTGTAGTAACCATCAGACAATGCATATGTATATTAAAACATCACACTGTACTTTAAATATATACAATTTTTATTTATCAGTTATGCTTTAATAACAAAAATAAACAATGGGGAAAGGACTTCCTATTTAATAAATGGTGCTGGGGTAACTGACCTGTCATATGCAGAAGATTGACAGTAGACTTCCACCTTTCACCATATACAAAAAATAACTCAAAATGGATTAAAATGTATGAGCTCAAACTATAAAAACCCTAGAAGAAAACCTAGGAAATACCCTTCTTGACATCAGTCTTTGCAAACAATTTATGGCTAACTCATCAAAAGTAATTGCAACAAAAACAAAATTGACAAGAGGGACTTACACTAAACAGCTTCTGCACAGCAAGAGAAACTATCAACGAAGTAAACACACAATCTACAGAATGGGAGAAAATATTTCCAAATTGTGAATCTGACAAATGTTTAATACCCAGAGTCTTATGGAATCTATATGGAACTTACACTCAACAAGCAAAAACCAAATAACCCCATTAAAAAATGGGCAAAAGATATGACCAGACACTTCTCACAAGAACACATGCATTTACCAAACACATGAAAAAAAAATGCCCAACATCACTAATTATTAGAGAAATGCAAGTCAAAACCACAATGAGATATTGTTTTACACTAGACATAATGGCTATTACTAAAAAGTCAAAAAACAACAGATGCTGGCAAGCCTTCAGAGAAAAGGGAATGCTTCTACACTGTTGGTGTGAAGTAAATTAGTTCAGCCCTGTGTAAAGCAGTTTAGAAATGTCTCAAAGAACTTAAAACAGAACTACCATTCAACTCGGCAATCCCACTACCAGCTATATACCCAAAGGAAAATAAATTGTCCTAGCAAAAAAAAAAAAAGAAAACAAAAAGACATATGCACCTCTATGTTTATCATAGTACTATTCACAACAGGAAGGGCAGGAAATTAATCTAGGTGCCCATGAATGGTGTACTGGATAAAGAAAATATGGTATATATACATCCATGGAATTTTACACAGACATTAAAAAGGTGAAATCATATCCTTTGCAACAACATGGATGTAGCTAGAGGCCATTATCCTAAGTGAATTAATACAGGAACAGAAAACCAAGTACTGCATGTTCTCACTTACAATTGGGAGCTAAACATTGGGTACACATGGACATAAACACGGGAACAATAAATACTGGACACTACTAGAGGAGGGAGAGTAGGGCAGAGGCAGGGTCTGAAAAACTACGTAACAGGCACTATGCTCACCGCCTGGCTGATAGGATCATTCACGACCCAAAACTTCACATCACATCAAAAAACTCATGTAAAAAACCTGCACATGTATGCTATAAATCTAAATAAAAGAAGAAATTTAAAAATATGCCTATACAGTTGGGAAAACTTTTTCCACTTACATTGATCTGTGCTTGTGAGGATCAGAAACCAGGATGGTATTACACTGCAGAAAAAATTTAGTCAAAGTCATCATTAACCTCTACAAACATAAATAGAGAAAAAAACACATCAGTGAGACACACTTCATATACGTCGATGGCATTGCTAGAGGGCAACAAAAAGATGAATTATCTGGTGACCAAATGTAAAAGTGTACTGAATTTAGAGAAACTAGATTTAAGTCACATTTATTCATTTACTAGAAATACAATCTTATGAAAACTATAAATCTTTCTGATCTTCATACGTAGATTGAGGACAAAAAAATGCTTGCCTAACCAGCATCACTGGAGAAAATGTGAGGATAAGATGGGTTAACATAAATAAAAATATTCACACATTGTAAACTGCTATGTAAATTTAACTTTTGGTGTTAATTTTGAAACCATCCCCTAAAAGAAGCTTATAGATATCCTAATCCATGTAATCTTATTTAATCTGAATGGGCTAAGCTAGGTTATACTAGAGCTTTTCAGTTTTAAAAATTTATCATTCCATGCTACTCAGTATTGCCTAACAGTTATTAAACATCACACAATTGCCCACTGCTTGGTGAATAGGGGAGAATCATTAGGTAACATCTTCATAGAGCTGACAGCTGAAGGGTGGGTGAATTTTTCAGGGAAAAGTACAAGGAAAATGAAAAAATGGATTTAGATCTAAAAACAAAAGATAAAACGAAGATGGGTGGAAAGAAAAAGAAATCAAGACAGTGCCGCAGGATATAGAGAAAGGGAAATAAGAAAGAAAAGTGGGTAAATGGTACAAGAGTGAAGAAGGAAGTTAATAGGGAGCAGAAGACTTTTAATTTCAGTCCTGTGAAAGGACTGAAAGCAATTAACGTGTGGTTGTGAAACGGGAACCAGGACATGCAAAACACTAACAGAAACAAAAAAACAAAACAAAAAGTAGGACAAGAGAATGAAGACAACAGCCAGGATTAGTACCTACTCATCTTTTTGTTTCTTTCATTTTATTATAAAATTTCTAATGTATTTTTAGAAGACGATGACAGTAAGGATGACCATTACCCTTAACACTCGCTATGCTCAAACATGGGCAACACTGTTGCTAAGCCTGCATGTATCTTAACTAATTTAATTCTGACAAGAGTTCTATGAGTAGATATTCTAGAGATGAATATCCAAGTAATCAAGAGGTCATTTTCAAAACAAAACAAAGTGGTAGAGATGGAACGTGAACCTCAGATAGTCATATTCTAGAGCTCACGCTCCCAACCACTATCCTTTCAATGAGAGCAAATTTATTTATGTTTACAAATATAAGAACAAGAAATACTTATTATTTCTGGGGACCTTTGTTATATGAGCCACTGGGAAATGAAAATGTTTAAATAAGAGAACAAACTGAAGAAAATAATGTTTCAAAATTAGAAAATAATGCTACTACCAGAAAAAAATTATTTTTCCTTTGTTTTCTTTAGCTGGAAGAAAGTACAGATGTTGGTAGGGAATCCTGCAAAATGAAAATTGGCTCTCTCCCTAAATAATAAAAACATATGAGAAAAAAACAGTAATGTTTATAATTTTACATACAAACATAATTTTTCATTTTAATTAATGTTCTTGAAATAAAATGATCATTGCATGCCAATAAAAGGTATTAATAGTATAATCATTTCATTAAGTTATATATTAATTAAATAATTTTATTTGATATTGTCTAAACACTTTCCTTACTCAACAGCTGATAGATACCATATAACTACAAAAAATAACCACAATTTTGCAAATGAATTCTTATTTAAAAGAATTAGGCATTTTCACATTATTGTGCCAAGAGAAACTACATTAATAGAATTAGAGATGGTTCTTACACATGATTACAACTGAATCCACTGCTTCCAAGAACACAGTTTATGGGTCTAACATTTCCAATTTTCTCTGAGAAATAGAAATTTCTTTTGGTTGTAGCTTTCGTAAATGCTTAGGAGCCCTTAAATAATTTTAGCTAACCAGTCATTATATCACATCTTAATTTTAAGAAAGTACTTGGGGTATTCAGGTAATACGTTTATAAAGAGACAACACTGACCACTCAGTTTGATCCTGTGAGATTCTGATTAAGAAGAGCTTAACGGAAAACTTAAGAAACACAAATAATATCTCACATAGGCAGGCAGGAGATACTCATTGAAAAAGGTAATTTCTTCTGACTAGAAGGAAAAGTGATTGAACATCCAAGTTAGAAATTTAGTTTAGACATAGAATGGTCTATTTAAAAAAACAGTAGTATCATATATAAAGATAACTAATATAACTTGTGTTTTAAATAGAAGAAACCATACATTTCTGATAAATTAAGTACAGCCCAACTTTAAAAGGAAAGGCTCACTGTGAAACCTTTCAGGCCAATGATACTACTGCACCAACACAGCTCGTTTTATTCCACTTTGTTGCACTTCACAAATATACATTTTTACAAATCGGAGATTTGTGGCAACCCTGCATCCAACCAGTGTATTCGCACCATTTTCCGACAGCATGTGCTTGCTTTGTGTCTCTGTGTCACATTTTGGTAGTCCTTGCATTATTTCAAACTTTTTCATTACAGTATTATTATATATTAATATAATATTATTTTTACATTATCATTATGTCTATTATGATGATTTGTGACCAGTGATCTTTGTGGTTACTACTGTAATTGTTTCAGGGGACCACAAATCATGCACATATAAAACCGCAGAATTAATAAATGTGTGTGTTGGCTGTTCCACCTGCTGGCTGTTCCCCTGACTCTTCCCCTTTTCTTGGGTCTCCCTATTGTCTAAGACCATAGTGAATTTAGTCCAATTAATAACCCTACAATAGTCTCTAGGAGTTCAAGTGAAGAGAGGAGTGGCATGTCTCTCATTTCAAATCAAAAACTAGAAATTACTAAGCTTAATGAGGAAGGCGTGTTCGAAGTTGAGACAGGACAAAGGCTACGTCCCTTATGCCAACGAGTTAGTCAAGTTGTGAACGCAAAGGAAAAGAAGTTCCTCAAAGAAATAAGAACTGCTACTCTACAACACATGAGTGATAAGAAAGTAAACATCAGCCCTACTGCTTATATGAAGCTTTTCGTGGTGGATTTTCAATTTAGATGAAACAGGTTTCCATTGGAAGATGCTATCTGGGACTTTCATAACTATTGAGAAGACAGTGTCTGGTTTCAAAGCTCCAAAGATAAGGATGACTCTCTTGTTATGAGTTAATACAGCTGGTGCCTTTGAGTGGAAGTCAATGCTCATTTACCATTTCCAAAAACCTAGGCCCTTATGAATTATGCTAAAATCTACTCTGCTTGTGCTCTATAAATGGAACCACAAAGCCTTGAAGACAGCAAATGAACAACAAAGCCTATAAGCCCAAGCTTGAGACCTATTCAAAAAAAAAAAAAAAAAAAAAGATTCCTTTCAAATATTACCTCATTGATGAGAGCATCTGGTCACCCAAGAGCTCTGACTGAGATGAACAAGGAAATTAACATTGTTTTCAAGCCACCTAATACAACATCCAGTCTGCATCCCATGGATCAAGAAGCAATTTCAACCTTCGACTCTTAACATTTAATAAATAAATTTTGTGAGGCTATAGCTGTCATAAGTAGTGATTCCTCTAATGGATCTGGGCAAAGAAAATTGAAATCTTCTGGAAAGGATTCACCATTCTAGTTGCCATTAAGAATGTTTGTGATGAATAGGAGGAGGTTAAAATATCAACACAATACGAGTTTGGAAGAAATTGACTGCAACTCTCATAGATGACTTTGAGGAATTCAAGACTTTGGTGGAGGAACTAACTGCAGATGCAGCAGAAATAGCAAGAGAGCTAGAATTAAAAGTGAAACCTAAAAATGTGACTGAATTGATGCAGTCTCATGATAAAACCTTAATGGATGAGGAGTTATTTCTTACAGATAAGCAAATAACATGGTTTCTTGAGTTGGAATCTATTACTGGTGAAGATGCTAGAGATGGCAACAAATGATTTAGAATATAATATAAACCTAGGTAATCTTTATCAAACTAAGTGGTAGGGTTAGGGAGGATTCACTCTAATTTTGAAAGAGATCTACTGTGAGTAAAATGTTACCAAACAGCATCACATTACAGAGAAATCTTTCCTAAAACGAAGAGTCAATCCACGTGACAAACTTCACTATTGCCTTAGCCACCACAACCTTTAGAAACCTCACCCTGATCAGTCAGGAGCCATTAACATCAAGGCAAGAGCCTCGACTAGTAAAAGATTATGACTCGCAGAAGGCTCAGATGGCCATTAGCATCTTTAAGCAACACAGTATTTTTAAATGAAGGCATGTACATTGTTTTTAGACATAATGCTGTTGCACACTTATTAGACTACAGTATATTATAAACATAACTTTTATATGTATGAACCAAAACATTTGTGTGACTTGCTTTATTGCAATATTTGCTTTACTGCAGTGTATGGAACCAAACCTGCACTATATACAAGGTTTGCCTGTAGGTTGCCTTCTTCCATATTTGTAGTCTAGGAAAATAAATGGTTGGCTAATGTGGTAATGACTGTAAAGCGCTTTCAGAGTGCATGACATATGTTGCCTTTATCATAGGTGGTAGATCTTATTATGAACATCTTCAGCAAACACATCATAGGATAATAATATATTAATTGTGAATTCTATAAAATTATGGTATATTTTTTAGATAATATCTTATCAATTTGTTCATACCATTTAAATTACTGCTTTAAGGGAGAAGCAACTCATTTTAGTACTATTTGTGTTTTATAATTACATAATTTTAAACCCTTCAGGAGTTATTTTACCACTAGGTAGCTACATACTCCATATTTATCCATCTATCCTTCCATCTGTCAGTCTATCAGTTCATCAACCCTCTATCCATCCTCCCATCAAAGATTTAGCTATCTGTTTACAGGTACCAAATGCAGTCTAAGTAAACATATCATTGTTGATATATGAGTGATACTGTGTCTTGAAGTCTATTAACACATAATAGTATCTCCTTTTTACAAATCGGTGAAAATGATCACCCTGCACACAAATGTTGCCCCCAAACCCAATGAAGCATACTATTACTAGGTGATTGTGCACTGTCTTTAAAGGTTATAATGATATTTCTGACTTATTTTTCCTCCAGAAGGGCAAAAAACAGAAGACAGATATTTTGGCTGAGCTATTGTTAGATGACTTTCTGAAGTGAAGAGACCAACATTGCACAACTGAACTATGAAACAAAAAAACAGAAATGCTGTTAAATATTTGACAGCACTATGATGGCTATACAAAACAACAGGACCCTGCTCCCCCTTCAAGAAAAAGAAAACTTAAAACCAAATACATTTGTGTGCAGTAAGGGCTTACTCATTATTCATTACTGTGTATAATCTTATGAATATATATTAAGGTAATCTAAAAGTGTTATAGCAGTTGCAATATTTTAATCATGCAAAATATTTTTCTTACTTGGTGATTAATCTCTAATTCCTGGGTAGACAAATGAAGCTAAATCATAGGTTTTTTATGACCAAGGGAGGGGATGGTACTGATCTGTCATTATCATTAAATCATAGGGATTGCTGGTGTTTAGCAAGGAAAAAATGATCAAAAGACCTCTATGTTTAAAAGTATTAGTCATTTCAAAACTAAAGAAAGTGAACCTAAGCAATGAGCATACACCCATTATGAAGCTATTTTAAAAGAGGAGGACTTATATTAAATATAGAATTGTTAGTACGATCATCTGTCTCAGCTCTCATAAAGCTCATCATCAATACACTGCAGCATAACGTAAAGGAAAAAGAAACAGGCTTGTATCTGTTCAAAGTCACCATGCAGAACTTCTGGTGAAAACTTTGAACCTGCTTTTTTACCAAAGTATTTATAACCTGGAAAACTAGAAAGTTGAGGTGTTCTATTTAGTTAGACCAGAAATTAACCTTTACATATATAATCAGGATAGAATGTGGCAGTCAGCTAATCCTAAATTAAGTCCTTTGTTCTTATTTGTTACATAAAGCATAAAGCATAAACACAGTGTTACATAACCACACTTCAAAGCCTTCTGTAAACCAAGCAACTCATAGCAACATCTCTGCCTTCAGCAATCCCACTCCAGTAAATCATCCAAGTGACCTTATTTGCTTATTAGAAGCTCTGTGTACAGGTTGCAAATGTCAGAGTATGAATTTACATTTTAAAAAGTGCATCTTGCAGTGGTTTTATGAAAATATTTCAACAATCTAAGGTCAAATTCAACTATTTATACCTCTGCTCTCTTGGGTTTAAAGATTTTTGTCCTAGATTCACATATTCTTCACAAGTCATACTTCATGACCTCTCCTTTTAACATTTCCACATTGTAACAGTTTGAAATACCATTTGGAAAGGGGGCTGTTACTACACTGTCATTTCTACTGCCACCTCAATAGTATGTTGATATATAATTTAAACATTTGATTCTCATTTAACGTCTTAGAATGATATTTATCTGTAGAAACCAATACACATATCTAATGAATTATGTGGGAGATTTTAAAATTTATATTGTATATCATGTATTACTTAAACTGATGTAATACATCAGCTCTCTGAAAATAGAACCATGACACATTTATATTCTACTCTAGAATACAGAAAAAAAATCATAATAATTGACTTTCGTATGCATGTTTTGCTTTAAAATTATTTTTCTTCTTGTGGAAGATGGTTAAAAAGATCACCAAAAGGATTTTCTGGGGAAGAATTTGTCAGGGGTTATGGCGGGGAAGTGGGAAAAGTGAGTTGATTAGAAAGAAACCTGCCTGGGCCATGAGTCTGTATGTAATTTTCTCATCCTACGTATTTTCCCAGAAGCATTTTCAAAATTATTAGAACATTACAGAAATAAATCATCAATAATACCACCACTGCTATCACCCCCAATCACATGTACATACCCCAGGAACAGAAAGAGGGACCAGGGTGTAACAGAAAGAATATGAGCTGTGGAATATACTGCTTAACCTTTCCCTGCCATGGGCTCGAGAGAAGGCCTCGGCTACTTAAAGGTTTTAGTCTCTACAACCTGCCTTATAGTGTGGCCCGAAATACAGGTATAAGTTGTTTTATGCACTTCACTTCATTGTGCTTTGCTGAAGTTGTGTTTTTACAGTTGAAAGTTTGTGGAAACCCTGTGTTGAGCAACTTCGTCTGTGCCGTTTTTCCAACAGCATATGCTCACTATATGTCTCTGCATCGCATTTTGGTAATTATTGCAATGTTTCAAACTTTTTCATTATTAGTATACTATATTAAACTGAATACTTTATAAAAATGATTAGCAAATAGAAGACCTGAAAAGAGGGGCCCTAATACTCCCATTTTCGCCATATCACTTAAAATGTGGTATAATCATTTGTTTAACTGAAATGGATTAGCAAGAGCACTCTCTCCTTAGGAACATAGTTTTCTTTCTGATTTAATGTCAACTTGATAACATTCTAGGTGAAGAAATGCCACTAAAGAAATACAATAATGATTCTGATGATATAAAAGGCATTATGTTTCTTTCTTTACAGCTAAACACTGTGAAAATTTAAATGAACGTAACACATCGGGAAAATTTATTTTATGTTTCTAAGCATGAAATATGAAACCTGCCTATTTATGAGGTACATTTAGGTCTCAGCTTAGCATTACCCACATTTCTATCTATTGTATTAAAGAATGTTGGTGATTACTACACTGAAGATTAGCAGCTAAAAAGACAAATGTGAGACAGTATATAGGCAAAAGGTTTTTGCTGTTCTTTTTTTGATTTTTTTCCTAGAATATAGCTGCAGATTCTCTTGCAGAAACAATAAAATGTCCTTTGGCAGTGACCATGATAACCACGTTCAAAACCTTACTGATACAAATCAGACTTGCCTCAGTTTTCCAAATGTATACTCTTATTTTGAAGAGATAGTTAAAAGCATCCTTAAAGTGTCTTTTGCCTTGCCTGGCATTACCTCCAAAATAGCTCCCTTCCAACAGTTGTTGAGAAGGCAATCACCACCTATCCTCCACAAATTTGAGTGAAAGTTGATGTCTTGCTATTTGATATACAGAATCTACAGATTCAAAGAAATGAAACTGCTCAAGAATTCAGACATGTTACCTATGACAAGTTTATATTTCACGTGAAAGTGGAAGTTCAAGTGGCTTCTTTAGAAAAGTTAAATTTGTTCTGGCACCAAATCCTGCTTCCCAGGGAATTAAAAATTTGATGAATTTTGTTACTTGATTAACACTTGCAATCTTGGCACTATAGACTCTTCACAGTGAAAATCTGTATTCAATTCACTTGCTCAGTAATTAGAAATACCAATGGCATTGGCCAGACGTGACAGCTCACACCTGTAATCCCAGCACTTCGGGAGACCAAGGAGGGCAGATCACCTGAGGTCAGGAGTTAAAGACCAGCCTGACCAAGATGGAGAAACTCCGTCTCTACTAAAAATACAAAATTAGCTGGGTGTGGCACATGCCTGTAATCCCAGCTACTCAGAAGGCTGAGGCAGGAGAATTGCTTGAATCTAGGAGGCAAACGTTGCGGTGAGCCGAGATTGTGCCATTGCACTCCAGCCTGGGCAACAGGAGCAAAACTCCATCTCAAAACAAACAAACAAACAAACAAAAGACATAGAATACTCTGCTAAAAACAGAAACTATACCATTGAAATCCTAATTTTTAATACTTTGTATATCTGAATTCATTCTATAATATTGAGCTACATTGTAGGTTAAAAGTAAATGAAAAAAGTCAGAATAAGATAAAAGGCCGAAAATAAATGGGATGAAAAATACAAGAGAGAAGAAAAAGGACTCTTAAAGCTAAGCTTGGAACAACATCAAGTTAAAAGAAGAGATCCATTTGCTGGTTATGGGAGATGCTACAATCCTAACAGATTAAAAACAGAATTATCCTGTAATATTCTTTTATCTTTTCTAATGGGTTAGAGGGTCAAGTTAATATTGTACTTTTTCATGTTTAATGTTAAATTTGGGATTTTATGTTGAAATTATTAACTGAACAAATAAAGAATAAGGAAGATATGACATAATACTAGGATACATAAAGAAAAACTCAAGATTTTTATTTGAATGCAAATACAATGTGAAAAGAAAATGTGATGGCTGCCATGAAAGCTAATGTAACTTTAACTATATGAATAAGAGAGCAGCATCAAGATAAAGGAAGGTAATAGGGCTCTGTATGTCATACTTGCCAGACTATATCTGGAATATTCTGCCGTTAGCGTAGGGAGAATGTGAACAATGCTGGGTGCATTTAAATAAGGGAGATGCAATGGTAAGAGGTCCAGAAAGTATCATGAGAAATCTATTTAAAAAAAACTAGTGGTATCTGGTCTGGAAAAGGAGAAGCCAGGGAGAGACGGTAAACTAAGAAGTATGCTAAAGGTCTTTTTGATTTGAATAGCTGGCACATGCAACAGGTGTTAGCCCCAAAGTACAGAACTAATGCACTGATTTTAAGAAAACATTTTTTTTTTTTGGCGGGGGATGGAGTTTCTTTCTTGTTGCCTAGGCTGGAGTGCAATGGCATGATCTTGGCTCACTGTAACCTCCACCTCCCTGGTTCAAGTGATTCTCCTGTCTTAGCCTCCTGAGTAGCTGGGATTACAGGCACCCACCACTATGCCCAGCTAATTTTTGGTATTTTTAGTAGAGATGGGGTTTCATCATGTTGGTCAGGCTGGTCTTGAACTCCTGACCTCAGGTGATCCACCTGCCTCGGCTTCCCAAAGTGCAGGGATTACAGGAGTGAGCCACCACGCCCAGTGATAACATTTTTAATTATTAAAAAACAATAACGTTTATCTTGTGAAACAGTGATATTCCTAGCACTGCAAAGTATTCGAATAACAGGTGATTATTTGTGAAAAAATTTCTAGATGGGACTTCTGCACTAAACTGGGAGGGTAGAGAAGAGTACCTCATAAAAGGAATATGTTGTGATTTCAATCTGAGAGTCATCACTGGTGTTATTAAAATACACTTAATTGGAAGATGTGTTGTAAATTATGTTGAAAATGCTCTCCTGCTCCCTTCCTATCCCCCAAAAATTAAAACATATAAAGTAAAAAACATGATAAAATTCTCCCATTACCTATTTAGACCATTACATCTTCAATACTTTTTGAGTATTTAAAGAGACGTATTAAAATGCAAATATCCTCACGGAAAGCAATAACATATGTGACTTTACTATTTGTTAACAGAAAGACATACAAGAGATGGGTGGTAAGACTAAGGTCCAAGTGGACACAAATTTGTAGAAGGCAAATGCAGGAAATGAGTCAACAATATATCTTCTTGGTTCTCTTGGAGGCCAAATAGATGACTGAGGATTCAACCATAATTTCTAGAAAGAGCTGGCTCAGTTTTCCAATGTCTGTATCATTAAAACTTATAACTAGTATAACTTCCAAAAAAGGTGACTAATGTAAATACATTCAGTATTTAGTTATTAAAATAGAAAATTTTTGTGTAACAAGCAAGTACCTATAGACATTTAAGCAGAAAACTAAATTTCAAAAGACCCAATTTGTGTCAAGATTTTCAAAACTGAACCAGGCTTTCATATATCCTATAATTCTGTCAGTATATATAAACTAATATTTGGGGGAGGGGTCTTACTGACTTAAGGCAGTCATAGTAATACACTATACTATATAATATATATATAATACACATATTACTATGCATGTTTTCATTCAGTAATATTTGTTAAAGTTAATATATTAATATATTTTAGATAGATCCTTATAGCTTGACCCAAGGTTTTTCTCCTAAATATCATCACTGTAAATTCTATACCTTTCCATTTGTTGACAGTGATAAAATAATTTTAATTTAAAATTTTTATAGGTATATAGTAGTTGTATATGTTTATGGGGTACATGAGATATTTTGATACAGGCATACAATATGTAGCAATCACATCAGGGTAAATGGAGTATCCATCATCTCAGGCATTTATCCTTTTTTGTATTACAAACATGCCTATTAACACTTTTAGTTATTTTAAAATGTAGAATAAATTACTGTTAACTGTAGTCACCCTGTTGTGCTATCAAATACTATGTTTTATTCTTCTATCAAACTATGCTTTTGTAGCCATTAAACATTCCTACTTTCCATTTCCCTCTTACTTCCCCACTACCCTTCTCAACTCTTGCAACCATCCTTCTACTCTCTATCTCCATGAGATTCACTGTTTTCATTTTTACCTCCCACAAATGAGTGAAAACAGGCAAAGTTAGTCTTTCTATGCCTGGCTTATTTCACTGAACAAAACGACCTCCAGTTCCATCCAAGTTACTGTAAATAAAAGTATCTCATTCCTTTTAAAGCTGAATAGTACTCCATTGTGTATAAGTACCACGTTTTCTTTATTCATTCGTGTATTGATGGATACTTAGGCTGATTCCAATCCTTGGCTATAGTGAACAGTATTGCAATAAGCAGGGGAGTGCAAATATCTGTTCCATATACTGATTTCTTTACTTTTGGGTATATACCTAGCAGTGGGATTGCTGGATCATATGGTAGCTCTATTTTTAGTTTTTTTGAGTAACCTCCATACTGTTTTCCATAGCGGCTGTACTGATGGACAACCCCACTGACAGTGTATGAAAGTTCCACTTTCTCCACATCCTCACCAGGATTGATATTGCCTGTATTTTGGCAAAAAAAAAAAAAAGGCTATTTTAACTGGGTGAGAAGATTTCTCATTGTAGGTTTGATTTGTATTTCTTTCATGATCAGTGATGCTGAGCACCTTTTCATATACCTGTTTGCCATTTGTATGTCTTCTTTTGAGAGATGTACATTAAAATATTTTGTACATTTTTAAAAATATGATTAGATTTTTTTCCCTATTGTTTGAGCCCCTTATATATTCTGGTTATTAATCCTTTGTCAGATGGATAGCCTGCAAATATTGTTTCCCATAATGTAAACTGTCTCTTTACTTTGGTGTCTCCTTTGCTGTGCAGAAGCTTTTTAACTTGCTCTGATCTCATTTGTAGATTTTTGCTTTGATTGCCTATGCTTAGTTTAGGCATAAACTATGTCTAAGATTTCAATCTTTAATCAATTTTGATTTGGTTTTTGTATTTGATGGGAGACAGGGGTCTAGTTTCATTCTTTTGCATATGGATATCCAGTTTTCCCAGCACCATCTAAAGACGAAACTGTCCTTTCCCCATTGTATGTTCTTGGTGCCTTTGTTGAAAATGAGTTCACTAGAGATATATGGATTTATTTCTGGGTTTTATATTCTGTTCTATTGCTGTGCGTCTGTTTTTATGCCAGTGCCATGCTGTTTTGGTCACTAAAGCTCTGAATTATAATTTGAAGTCAGGTAAAATGACCACTCCAATTCTGTTCTTTTTGTGCAACATGTATTTTGCTATTATGGGCCTTTCATGGTTTCACGTAAATTTTAGGATTATTAATTCAATGTATTTGAAGCATATAATTGGTATTTTGATAGGAATTCTAAATTTCTTTTTTTCTTGACCTAGCCATGGATTGGTATCGTCATTGGTATATGGTCATTCAGAATCATATTGTTTTATTTGCATGTGTTTGTATAGTTTCTAAAATTCTTCTTGTTATTAATTTCTCATTTTACTACATTGTGGTCAGAGAAGATGCCTGATATAACATATGGTCTATTATTAAGAATGTTCCATGAGCTGAGGAGAACATCCCTCTGCAGCTGTTGGATGAAGTGTTCTGTAAATATTTATCAGGTCCATTTGGTCTATGGTGCAGACTACATCTCACATTTCATTGTTGATTTTCTGTCTGAAAGATCTGTCTAATGGTGAAAGTGGGGTATTGAAGTATCAGCTATTATTTATTGGGGTCTATCTCTCTCTTTAGCTCTAATAATATTTGCTTTATATATATGGATGCTCCAGTGTGGGGTGCAAATATAATTGCTATATCCTCTTGCTGAACTGACCCCGTTGTCATTATATAATGACCTTATTTGTTTCTTTTTATAGGTTTTGTCTTGAAATCTGCATTATCTGATATCTATGAAGCTATTCCTGCTCTTTTTTGCTTCCCATTTGCAAAGAATATCTTTTTCCATCCCTTTAATTGCTAGTTTATGAGTGTTTTTATAGGCGAAATATGTTTATTGAAGACAGCAGATATTTTATGTCTTATATTTTTATCCATTAAACTACCCTATATTTTTGATTGGAGAATTTAGTCCATTTACATTTAATGTTATTACTGATAAAGACTTATTGCTATCATTTTTTTATTTGTTTTCTGGTTGTTTTTTTGCCTTCCTTCTTGTCTTCCTTGTAGCAAAACTGATGATATGTTTTAATTTCTTGCTTTTTATTCTTTATATCTGTGGTAGGCTTTTTGATTTGTGGTTCTTGTGAGGCTTGCAAATAACATCATACAGCCCACTATTTATAAACTGATGACAACTTAACTCTGATTGCAAAAACAAGCAGAGAGAAAACCTGATAAAAATTCTCCCCTTTAACTTCTTCTTGCCTGTATTTTAACTCTGTTTCTATTTATATCTTATTATAACGTCTATGTCTTAAAAAGTTGTAGTTCGTTCATGCACCACAATTAAAGTCTTATATAGTCCATATTTGTCTGCGCACTTGTTACCAGTGAGTTTTGTGCCTTAAGGTGATTTTTTATTGCTCATTAACGTCATTTTCTTTAAGACTGAAGTACTCCCTTTAGCATTTCTTGTAGGTCAGGTTTAGAGTTAACAAAATCCCTCAGCTTTTGTTTGTCTGAGAAAGTCTTAATTTCTCCTTCATATTTGAAGGATATTTTTGCTGGATATAATATTCTAGGATAAAAGTATTTATACTTCAGCACTTTAAGTATGCCATGCAACTCTCTCCTGGCCTGTAAGGTTTCCACTGGTAAGTATGCTGCTGGGTGTACTGGAACTCCTTTATATGTTATTTGTTTATTTTCTTTTGGTGCTTTTAGGATGCTATCTTTATCCTTGATCTCTAAATGTCTTGTGGAAGTATTATTTGGGTAAAATCTGCATTGTGTTCTATAACCTTCTTGTCCTTGAATATTGATACATTTCTTTGGGCTTGGAAAGACATATCTCCATTACTCTTTGTTTGAATAAAATTTCTGCCTGAATCAATCCCTCTTTTTCTGCATAGTATTTAAGGCCAATAACTTTTAGATTTGCTTTTTTGAGGTTATTTTCTAGATCCTGTAGGCATGTTTCATTGTTTTATTTTTGTTTTTTCTCTCTTCCATGCATTTTCAAATACCTTGTCTTTAAGCTCACTAATTCTTCTGCTTGATCATTCTGCTGTTGACAGACTCTAATGCAATCTTCAGTTTGTCAACTGAATTTTTCAGTCCCAGAATTTCTGCTTGATTTTTCAAAAGTATTTTAATCTCTTTGTCAAATTTATCTGATAGCATTCTGAATTCCTTCTCCATTAAATTGCATTTCCTCGGGCTTCCTCAAAACAGCTATTTTAATATATATTTTTTTGTCTGAAAGGTCACCTATCTCTGTCACTTCAGGACTGGTTACTGGTAATTTATTTAGTTTGTTTGGGAGGTCACGATTTCCTTGATGGTCTTGACGCTTGTGGACATTTGCCAGTGTCTGGTCATTGCATAATTACTTATTGCAGCCTTCACAGCTCAGGCTTGTTCAATATTGATCCTTGGGAAGGCATTCTAAATATATGAAGAATTGTGATCTCAGACTCTGGTCATTGTAGTGGTAACTGTATTAAGGGGCTCCAATCTTGTTGACTAACAGAGGTACTACTTTGATGGTCTTGGGTAAGATCTGAGATAATTCACTGGATTATTAGGCAGAATCTCTTGTTCTCTTCCCTTACTTTCCCCCAAACAAAGCAGGTCTCTCACTCCATCCTGAGCTATCTGGAATTGGAGGAAGGGGTGATACAAGCAAGTTCACTGACAACACCGCTGGGACTGTGCTGGGTCACACTTGAAGCCAGCACAGTACTAGGCTTCACCCAAGTCTCTGGTGACTATTACCTGGCTACCAGTGATGTTTATTCAAAGGCCAAGGGTTCTTTAGTCAGTAGGTGGTACATCCTGCCAGGCCTGGGTCTTTCCCTTTAGGGCAGTGTGTTCCCTTCTGGCCCAGGGTAGGTCTAGAAATGCCATGAAGGAGCTATGGTCTGGAACTGGGAACTTTAGAAACCTACTTCGTGCCATATTTTACTGTGGCTGAGGTGGCATTCACATTGCAGGCAATGTCCTTCTCACTTTTCTCTTTCCTTTCCTGAGGCAGAAGGAGCCTCTCTCTCCATGGCCACCACCACCCCAAGGCCATGGCGACCACTGCCTGGCTACTGCTGTTGTTTATCCAAGGCCCAAGGGCGCTTTAGTCAGTAGTTGGTGAACTGTGCCAGACCTAGGTCTCTCCTTTCAGGGCAGTGGGTTCCCTTCTGGCTCAGGGAAGGCTGAGAAATGCCATCTAGGAGCTAAGGCCCAAAACTGGAGGCTTTAGTAGTCTGCTTGGTGCTTTATTCCACTGAGGCTGAGCTGTTCCCCAAGTTGCAAGATAAAGTCCTTTTTAGTCTTCCCTCTCCTTTCCTCAGGCAGAAGGAGTCTCTTCCCATGGCCAACATATCTGGGAACGTGCTGAGTTGACAGCTGAAGCCAGCATGGTACTGGGTCTCCCCAAAGGCCTATGGCAATTGCTACTTGGCTACTGTTGATGTTTACTCAAGGTCCAAGGGTTCTTCAGTCATTAGGTAAAGAATTCTGCCAGGACTGAGCCCTTCCCTTCAGGGAATCAAGTTATCTCAAGGCCTAGGGTGGGTCTAGAGATGTCTTCTGAGAGCTGGGGCCTGAAATAGGGGATTCAGGTCTCTGCTTGGTGTTTTATTTTACTGTGGCTGAGCTGGTATCCAAGTTATAAGAAAAAATCCTCTTTGCTCTTCCATCTCCTTTCTTTTGTACCCCATGTCTACTAACTCTAAGCCCAGTACAATACCAGGATTTGCTCGGGGATTGCAGTCCTGTGGCCTAGACTGCTTTTCAAATTTATCTGGAATTTAGCCTGCAGTGGTGGCTTTAGCCTGCAGTGTACTTTAGCCAGGGTACTTTAGCCTGCAGTGGTGGGTCCAGCTGAAACTCAGGTTCCGAATGGTGGGACAGACAATACCGCTCTGGCTAGGGCTGGTCTAAATGCTCTCTTTGTGGGTACTGGCTGAATTCTGCCCATGTTGCCTTCTGCTGTGACAGGGCAGCAATGAGTTCCAATGCGAAGTCCCACAAGCACTATGTTTTCCCTCCCTGCAAAACACAGATTCTGTTTTTCCATGTTCCACATGGTACTGCCAAGGGGTGGCGGGGGGTTGCTACACGAAATTCAAGACTGCCTTTCCTACTCTCTTCTGTGCCTCTTTGCTTGAAATAATGTTACAGTGAGGTACGGTGATTGCTGACCTGATTTTTGGTTCTTATGAAGATACTTTCTAGTATGGAGAGTTGTTCAATTTGGTGTTCCTATAGGAGGACAACTGCTGGAGATTTCTATTTGACCATCTTGCTCAAATTTATATTTTCTACTCCCCTGACTGGTTACTTCTCCTGGCTTTGCTATCCCTTGGAATACTACCAGCAGCATTCCTTCAATTGTTCAAAGTGAAACCTTACATTTTCACTACAATATTCCGTGTCCAAACAGATTCTGAGTTCCTTCACAAGAAGAAAGGGCTTCAGATACTTTTTCTATTCTATTGCCATTACTTTAATTCATGCCCTAATTATCTTTTAGGTGTACTGCAATTTCTCATAATTAATATCTATCTTCCAATCGCTTTCCTCATGAAAGCTCCCTTACACACTGGTACATGAGAACTTTTACGAAAGCCTACATTCTTATCAAGTTGCTCTGTAGTCAAAAACCTGCAGCAACTCACTATAAAATCATAGAAAAAAGACTAATTAATACAGCATTAAAATCTTCTATTATGTGATTCCCATCTATGTTTTCAGCTTTATCTCTTAACAATTCTTTCTACAGTCATCATTCTCCAATTAATTCATTGTACTGTCCATTATCTAAGAATAGCCTATGATTTCCAATAGCTGAAATGGCTTTCTTCATTTTTTTCCTGCTATAATCTTGTCCATTTCCCAAGACTAGGTTTAAAAATCTTTGTCTTAATTTCAGTATCTCTCCCCTACTCCCCTGCCATTAATTTTTTCATTTTCCTTGTCCTTTGTTCTCCCATGGACTATTCTTGTTCCTTGTTCTTTTCCATTTACTGAATTAAGACTTACATCACAATTTGGGTTTTATACATCTCTTTGCCTTCATTTAAGGGTCAAGGACAGTGCTGCAAAGATACAACAAAGACTGCAGTAGATACCATGTATTCTGTAAGTGTGTTTTGGTTTGATTATATTACATTATCAATCATAGAAGGGTTTAGCATAGGAACATTACTTTAGCACTCTGGAGCTGGGAAGCATAATGTACAAATTCCTACACGTTTAGTATTTGGATTTTTTTTCATGGAAATGAAGAGGACATTTGTTTCCCAGAATAGTACTGAACATCTTTGATGTAGATAACCCATCACATTGATTTATTTGTAGGCACAGAGAGACAGAAAACACAGAGCATTCTGTGGGTTAACTGGGGCATATTTGTGCTATCAGTCACAACTACAGCTTCCTCTCCTAGATGCTCTGATGTTACGTGGAACAGTGACTGGCTGGATGGGAAGAAAGTAGGGAACTATCTCTCTCTCCCTCAATGTCACTGAGCAGTACAGGGTGGTGACAGATGCTGCAGGGTACTTACTAAAAAGCACTGGCTCTTTTCTTCTTGCTGTCAGAGTAAAAGTCTGTTTGGGTGTCCACTTCATCAAGGAGTGTCTTCCTGAGACTTGGGGGTAATTCCTGATTATGCCACTCATAGTAATATCATTCTTCTTCCTAGAAAATTTTTCTGAGAGATGTGAGACCCAATTCTGGTCAATAAAATATGAAACAAATTTTGCTAGAGAAGTAACTTAATTCTATAAGAGATACACAAAAATTTTGTCTGCATTTTGTTGTGTCTGAAAGTGGGTGACACTTGGAATCATGGCTCTTAACTAATGATTATTAACAGATGCCACCGTTTGGACATTGCTGGCACCCTGAGAATTGAAAGGCAAAAACAATGAGCTCGGAAACTTGATACTGCCACAGTGCTGGGAAAACTAGACTTTGGGATTTTTATTATGTGACAAATACATTTTCCTTATTATTTGGGCCAGCTGAGTGTGTGTGGGATGGTTCTTTATTGTAGCTGGAGACACCCTGACACACAGGACTTCTTGTTGGCAACAGGCATCTTGCTTAGGTGGCAGATGCTAATCATTGCTAGGGCTTCATGGGACAAGCACATTATTTCTATTGCTTGCTTAAAAATTGTGCTGATTTGTTGCTAGGTCCTGATTCTGTAATTTTTTTTCATGGATCTAGTAACATGTCTTTAAAATATACTGTACAACTCCTTTGTAATAATTATCAAACTTACACTGACTAATGTTTATCTTCTTTATCAGTTTACAAGCTCTAAGAGGGCAGTGACTGAATTTGCTAGGAAAATTCGTATATTTACAGAAATCAGTCAGAGCTGGAACAGAGGTGTTCAGTAAATAGGTATTCAGTTAATATCTGTAAAATGCATGAAAGAAGGAGTAAATAGAGACATAGAGAGCATCAGAAACATTCTCTCCGGTTATTTCTATTGCTCACAACTCCCCTTCCTTGCCTTCTTACCAATTCAGGATTAGAAAAGTGTGCTGTGTCTTGAGTTTTAGGAGAAGAAACAGAAAAAGGAAGGAAGCTATCATTACAACTACTGTTTGCTCTCTCCCATTGAGTGGAGAAGAGAAAAGGAAACAAGTTTCAGGGGTAACTTACAAAATATTTTCATAAAGTAAAACTACAGTTGTCTCCCGTATTGCTTACTGGATCAAAATATTATTTAAGAAATGTTCAGTTACACTTTTTAAAGCCAAAATGGAGCTTAGAAATAATTCAATGGAACTTAGCTGAGCAAAGACTTATCCATCAACTATTTCAAGTTCTTCATTTTTCAGATGAAGAAAATGAAAGCTTCTGTCATCACGATCAATCTTAGTGTTTTTTTATTCTATGATGTAATAAAGAAGTGAATGTGGACCATCACATTCACTGGTAACAAAAAGGATATTTCCCTGGCAGTGCCGTTCCAATTCGGTAGTCAGTGTAGCTCTTGCTTGGATGGAAGTTGAAAATGAAAAGAAGACCTGCTCTTTCAAAGGCAATAATCTTATTACCTTCATGTTTTTCACTCACATGGGCCTGCAGGAATTAACACACATGTTACATTTAAATAATACGTAGATGCTGCTACAAGTACATTATTTTTCATCTTTGCCAATACTCGGTTTATTAAAACAAAAAAAGTATTTCAGAACACTATATTTTTTTGAACATGTTACCATTTTGCTATAAACTCTGAGCCAAAAACAATCTCTAAAATTGCTTAGTGGAGTATGCAAAGCTCACCAGACACTTGGCAACTTCATTGCACAAAAAGAGGAATAGTGTTGTGGCTCAGGTTTCAGGTAAAACCATGGCGTGTGTACATACTACCAAGTGTTTGGTTGTATATAGTAGATCCACTTATAAGTGAAGTTTTTTAAAGACTTTTATATTAATCTCCAGTTTAATGTGGTTAGGGACATCAAACCACTTTTCAAAATTTAATGCAACATTGTTATTTTAATGTAGTTTCTGAAATTATAGTTTTCTTAAACATTTTACATTTTTACCCAACTTTGTCAGATTCAATGGCAACCTAAAGTCAATTACGATACTTTTTTCTTAATAAAAAGATAAGGTCTGAAAAGAAATTACATCTGTAAAACCTCTTCTTTTATTCATCATCATATATTTACAGTTGGCTCTGAAAAGCCTTTGCTTTTTTACCACCACTCTCCCTCAGTCCCCGGCTCTGAGAGGACTTATTGCCATGCATATCAGCAGCACCACTCTTGGTAATTTAGAAATGAGAACTAAAGCTCCAGAGTAAACAGTGTGCCTTTTGGTATTCAACATTGTTCTTATTGAAAAGGAGCATCATTTTGCTCTCTCTTCTGGAAACAGCATTACTAATAAACGTGATTAGGGCATTTGTGTCATGGAGCAAATCTTACTGAATATATAAATACCTTTGTTTAGCCATTAAAAAAAAATCATAGACACCAAAGTAAAAACCCATCAACAGTAATTTCCAACAGCCCCAGTATAAAGTAAATGGATTATAACGAACACATATTATATGCTAATTTTTGCAAGGAAAAAAGAAGCCTGTATAAAATTTTCACCTGTTAATTATGTTTTCTAAAACTTGTTGAAAACTGAGACATTAATTCCAGAGGACAGACAGGCTCATGAAAAATACAAAACAACATGCAGGTAAAATGGCATCTATTGAATGACAAGTTAGAAACCAGTAAAGAAGAGAGAGAGAGAGAAAAAAAAAAAAAGAATAAAGAAATCTACATGTTGTCAAAGTAGCTTCTTTATGACAGCATAATTATTTACATAAAAAAGTGGTCAAAACAATTAAGATGTTTTCACAGCAATTTTTAAAGTGCGTTCCCTGCAGAGCTTTTATCATTTATTTTAACCAATAAAAATACAAATTACAAAATTTAAACAATAACAACAACAACAAAAAAAAACCCAGCAAAGTAAGCAGGGTATTATGTTTAAGATTTTCATTATCAGTTGGAGAGACTTCAGTGACATGTTTTGACAACCTCAAGTATGTTATAGGACACAACACACTGAATAATAATGTGCTGTTTGAAAGATCTGCATACAGATTTCAATTGGTTGCCATTCGAAGCATGTACATCATTGGTGACTAAAACATAGCATTCACAGTAAAGAGCTTACCTGTGGGGCTGAAAGCCAACAAAATCTTTCTTCCAATCTATTCATATCCCTGTCAAAATTATTTAGGAACTTGTAGCGAAGGAGGTCATCATCAGTTAAATGAAACTGCCTTCTGGCATAATGGTAACTCTCATTATTTCCTTTTCTTGGGAAGTCTAACCATTCAGGATGCCCAAATTCATTACCTGCATTAAAAATGAAATGTAAATATCACCCTGTTACATTAGAATTTCTTACTAGTAATACATCAATAATTAGGTGTTTTTTAAAGTTTTTGAAATTCCGTTTCAGCTATCATTTACTAGGCCTGTGTCCTGTGGATGACGTACAGGTCTAGCTCAAAAACAGCAGAGTCTAGCACAGAAAATATTACATTTGGACTCAGGAGCCCAAGGTGCAGCTTCAGTTTGGCTGCTCACTACTTGTTGCACATCTTGGTTTCCTCAAGCACAAACTGAAGACAATTATCGATATACTTATTTCACTTCTAAAATAATCTCTGAGATCTCAGGGTAATTTCTGAAATCTCTGTTTCTATAATCTCTGAAATCTGTACAATGCTTGACAATTTCCAAAGGCTTTGTATGTAAGTTATTTTTTGATCCTCAAAGGAACTCTGTATTATATTCATTTCACAGACAGGAAATCCAAAGCTCTGGGCAGTTAAGGGCTTTGTCCAAATTCGCATAGTGGGCAAGCAACCATTAAAATTTAGTTCCACTGATTAAAATCCAGTTTTTCCTACCACATCACATTAGGAAAATATCTTCTATATCTCAGGTGCAAAGGAAACTCAGGTCATTAATTTTATTATTAATTTTCTGTATTCTTTTTTAGATCTATTTATTACTATCAGATGTATACCTTTCAGTTCAAGTGTGGCTGAATGCTTGTGCTGATTCTTCTGTGTGTATAACTGAGACGCCTGGGTGGGGATCTATATAATATTATTTCTCACTATAATGATGAGAACCAGAAAACCAATAAACTTAAAAAATAAAATAAAACAATAACAAATACATAGTTTCCATTTTGAGAATCGATTTTAGATATTATTCGTCTAACCAATTGGTTCTTATTGTTGCTCTGAAGTTCAACTTCTATTTTAAGCCTTCTTTTCTTTCCCTAAAAATTAAATACAAAAATTTTCTTTCCTGTGCTAGAATTAATTAATGCTGTGATTTTCTAATTAGTGTTACAATTTCTAATTAATGCTGGAAATTTCTAATTAATGCTATAAATTTCTCCAATGAGTTAGAAAGTATCATAGCCAATACAAATGTGTCCTACTTCAAATAAACTGTATATTCATATTATAATAAATAAAAACTAATAAGCAAGGATGTAATTCAAAATGATTTATGGCAGAGGTGCTTTAAATAGTAAACTTTGCAAAGAAATTCTGCAATTTACATTTAATTTTTCAGGACCACATTCATCCAAATAAAAATATCATCCAAATAAATAGGGCTATAGCAGTTTCTTAAAAATTAAAGTGTCTACAAACATTTTGCTCAATTCAAATTTTAATTTAAATTATAGTATTTCTTATTATGTTGTCCACAGTGTGTCATAGCAGAGAACTGACTTTATGAGGCTACAATTACTTTAGGATGCTTTAAATTGATACAAGGAACTTCCCTCTGCTACATTTAAAAGTCCTGCCTAGGTCTAAAATCTGATTCGTATCAGCACAAGGTATACCCATGGCACAGCTTACTCCTTCAACCATAAAACTAGCAAAATAATGTGCCTCCAGAATTGTATTTGGAGCAATCTTTACTAATAATGACAAGACTTCCAGTCTGGGAACAAGTATATGTCCACATACCAATCCATGGACTAGTGGGATTTTAACTAGTGGATGATTTACGAGAGACTAGAAATGCCATTAGGTAGCTATAGCATATTAGCCTACAAACTGGATCCAGGCTTCCTATAGGCAAAATACTTTTCTTCTGGCACAGCTACGGGTCTCTGGGTTGATCCCAGTATTAATAAGCAATTCCTTCAGCCCTCTTCCATGGAGGCTGTTACATCATTGTCATCATGATTAACCCAGCAGCACATGCTTAATTTCTGTTTGTTATGTTTCAGGCACCATTGCAAGCATTGCACATGAATTAACTCTATCTTCAACAATTATCTAAGGTAGGTAATATTATTATTTCAATTTTATAGATAAGGAAGCTGAGGCAGAGATGTTACACAGTAATTAAGGAGTTGGGCCTGTGAACCCAGACAGTCTGGTTTCAGCCCCCTGACTCTTAATTTCTACTACAGCAGTTGCACAGAAGTAAATTCCATGGAAATACAGGGCCAAGAATGACCAATCTCTCATACCTGGACCAAGATTCCACGCTAGTGGAATGACACGCACAAATGTATCAGAATGAGAAGGTGAGATGTAGTGAAAAGTTCGGTTTTGCCACAAAATAGGACTTGTGGTGAGTAGAAAAGGTAGGGCTATTAGGATGAACTTTATAAATTTTGTACCTTATATTGCAGGCATATGGAATCAAAGGCTATTTTAAAGTAGGGAAATGAGAATTTCAAATGTGTTTATTATTAAGATATCTCTGGTACACCGTGGTAAAAAGGCTGGATATCAGGGGACGCTGAATGGTAGGAAAACTGGTATGGAATCCAACATATAAGAGATGATGAGATGCTGTGGGAATAAAGAAAAGAATGATGGATTCAAATGGCATTTCTGAGATGGAAATAATAATATTTGATGACTGACTGAATGGAGACAGTGAGGAAAAGGAATGTCGGAAGGCAATTTTGAAGTTTTGAGTTCAGGAAACTGAGTAGTGACAGCATTAAGTACGCTAAGGGAAATGGTGATAGAAAGTTTGGGGTAAGAAGATAATGAGTTCAGTTTTAGGCCCGCTAAATTTAACACCTGAAGAATACACTGGCATCCGTGGATTTAGAAGAATGATAAAAATAAGGTACTGAAACACAAGAGAGAAATGTAGGTGGGGAGAAAGAGTAATTTGTAAAGCTATAATAAGGAAAGACAATGACAGTCATCAGAGAAAAAGGGCCATAGCCAGCACACCAAGAAACTGAAGGCAGAAAGAAGCCTTAATGGGGAAGACTGAGAGCAATGGTGAAGGGGACATTAAAAGAAAACATAGAAGGCTAAGAAGAGTCCCAAGGAGGGTGGTCAGTAGCGTTAAATGCTACCAAAAGATCCTGAAGAGTGTTTTCCAGCTTGGATTCATTCTCTCCACCACATTCAGGTAACAC